GAATCGGACTCCGCCGAACGGAACCGACATCGAATCGGATCGATCGGATCGACAGGGACCCTGTGCGGGAGGAAATCTCACAATGTGATCTCCTGGAGCTCCCCCATGCAAGCCATTTCGGGCTTCGCTGTGGGCGCACCGCTGGCGCCTGGCAAAATAATCCCACCATATTTTTCTTGGCGTAAATCGCAAGTGGTCCAGGGAGGTAATTATTCCAACCTCCTTCCTTCCTCCTCCTCCTCCTCCTCCTCCTCCTCCTCCTCTTCCTCCTCCTCCTCCTCGTCCTCCTCCTCCCTCCTGCTCCTCCTCCTCCTCCTCCTCTTTTTCTTCCTCCTATGATTCCTCTTATTATTATTACTATTATTATTACTATTATTATTATCATCATCATCATTATTATTCGTATTATTATTATTAATAATATTATTATTAGTATTATTATTATGATTATTATTATTATCATTATTGTTATTGTTTTTATTGTTATTATTATTAATAGCATTAGTATTGTTAGTATTATTATTACTATTCTCATTCCTAGTATTATTATTATTATTATTATTATTATTACTATTATCCTTCTTCTTCTTAGTATTCTTCTTACTATTCATAATCGTTTGATTATTATTGTTATTCCTCTTCCTCCTCCTCCTCCCTCCTCCTCCTCCTCCTCCTCCTCCTCCTCCTCCTCTTCCTCCTCCTCTAACGTGCCTCCAATGACTGCCCCAAGACGGGCCGCGAAGTCTCCCAAGGAACCCCCATCGAGAGGCCCATTTCCTTCCAATACCTAAGGCGCATCCGCGCGTTGCTCTCCTTGCCTTCGCGCTTCCGATGGGCGCTTGAAGCCCTCAAAATGGATCACACGTTGTCAACATATGCCCGACGAGGAGCCCGACAGAAGCCCTAGGCGGCCCCAACAGCGCGGCGCCACAGGGAGGGGGGTGTAATCGGGAACCCCCACTTCTTTGATCGATGGCCTGCAAGATGGCATCCAGGATGGCCCAAATAGGGCCCCAGCAGTTGGTCCAAATAGAGCCCGAAATGCCTCGTAAGTGGCCCCAGAGAGGGCCCAACGAAGCGTGACTGCATGCTCCCAGTCCGTGACTGCATGCTGCTACACATCCCTGGTCAGGGTCGCTCGCCTTGCGATAGTTTTCGGATGGGTTGGTGGGGCTATTTTTTTGATCGCGACCGTAGCGACAAATCGCTCGGCGTCAAGTCGAAGCGCGGCTATCGAGCAGCGGACTAAATTAGGCACTAAGCGCGCAGGAGCGAACTACACTGCGGCTCAGAGGGCGAAGCCGACGCTGAAGAACAGGTAGGACACGCCGAAGCCGACGGAGACCAAGGTGCTGGCCTGGATGCAAGCCAACATGGCGAAGCCATTGAAGCCTATGACCACGTCCAGGAGGAGGACCGAGACGAGTCCGCAGAGGGCAGCGTGAAGGCGAAAAGCTGGTGGGGAGACGCGAAGCGTCAAGAATCATGCGACTAACGTCTGGAAACGATACCCTGGCGCCAGGCGTAGGAGGAGCAGCTGGGAGGGCGGGGTCCTTGACTGCTTCCTAGGGTTACGTGGAAGGAAAAGGGGGGAAGGGGAAGGAGGAGGAAGAGCCGGATGACCGACGACGCCGACGACGACGCCGACGACGACGCCGACGACGACGCCGACGACGACGCCGACGACGACAACGACGCCGACGACGATGACGACGACGACGCCGCCGCCGACGACGACGACGAGAGCGAGCAGTCCGCGCCCGCCTGCGCCGCCCGCGCGTCCCCAGACATCCGAAGCGGTGGCTTCTCGACACGGGGGCCCCAGCTGGCCGGGCTCCTTCTCAACAAGGGCCGGCCTGAGTCGTTTTGTGGACGGCCCTGGGGCCCACGGGAGGTCCCCAAAGGGCCGAACACGGAGGAGGATCGTGATGATGATAATGATGAGGATGATGGTGAGGAGGGTGTGAATGAGGATGATGGTGATGGTGATGGTGGTGATGGTGGTGATGGTGATGGTAGTGGCTTAGCTGATGCTGATGATGATGAGGAGGATGAGGACAACGATGAGGATGACAATGATGACGATGATGACGAGTATGACGATAATGGCACTAATGACGCTAGTGACGATAATGACGAAGATGCTGATCAAGATGGAGGTGCATACGATGATGATGATGATGATGATGATGATGATGATGATAATGATGCTGACGATGAGGATGAGGATGAGGATGAGGATGAGGATGATGATGATGATGATGATGATGATGATGATACTGATGCTCATGATGATGATGACGACGATGATGATGATGATGATGATGATGATGATGATGATGGTGATGATGGTGATTGTGATGATGATGCTGGTGGTGACGATGATATTGATGATTATGGAACGCATTATTAGTTATTGTATTGATATGAATCAGTGTTAATCGTACGATTGTGGATAGTAAGATTGCTTTTCTTCCCAACTTGACAGTATTTTTCGTTTTGGCATCAACGTATTTAACGTTATCATTCGTATGACCATTGCGATTAGCATTATTGTGGTGGTGATGGCAGTAATGGCGATGAAGATGATGAGGATGAGGACGAGGATGAGGATTAGGGCGACGACGACGAGGAGCAGGAGGAGGAGGAGGAGCAGCATCAGGGGATGGACACCTGCGCTCCCTTGGGCCCGCGGCGAGAGGCGCTGGCGGCGAGAGCGCCCGCGGCGAGGGCGGCGGCCGAGGCCAGCGGGCGCTCCCCGCCCCGTGTGCGGTGTGCTGCCTGACGGCGTGGCCGCTATCTCGTAGATCTGCACGATGTTCTCGTGCCGCACCTGCCTGCGCGCGCGCGGAGGGCGGGGCGGAGATGGGGCCTGCGGGCTGCTCAGCGAGCGCAGGCCAGTGAGCAGAGAGGAGGAGGAGGAGGAGGCGGAGGAGGAGGAGGAGGAGGAGGAGGAGGAGGAGGAGGAGAGCAGAGCTGCCCAGCGAGCGCAGGCCAGCCTGTCGGGAAGCGATTCGGGGGGGAGGGGTCGCTGATGAGGAGCGACAAAAGGGGGGGGGAACTTCGGTTGTTGCTAGGAGTGCCCCTGGCCCAAGGTGCTCCCCAGGACTTCCAAGGGGGCCCCCACGGCCTCCAGAGCACCCCATCACCAGGCCTAGGGTTCCCAGGGTGTCTAAAATGGAACGGAAAGCGGGGGGGGGCCAGGGGGGCCCCCACAGGGGCCCACGGGGCCCCCGAGACGCCCCCAACAGCGCCCAATGCTGCCCCAATAGCGCCCCAAATGGCGATGTCTGGGACTCCGAGAGGGGTGGGCCTACTTGAAGTTCCTTCTTTGTTGGCAGATGTCGTCCAAGATGGCTCCAAAAGCGCCCATAAAGCTCACAAGAGCGCCCAAAGATGCTCCCCAGAGGCGCCCAGGCGGCCCAAGAGGCGCCCAAAGGGCCTCCAAGAGGCACCCAAGAGCCCCCCAAGAGGCCTCAAGAGGCCAAGGCACCCAAGACGCCCAACAACTGCCCTGGGCCTGCTAAAACGCCCCCCCCCACACCAGACGTCCCAAAAGGCCCCCAAGATCCTTCCAAGAGACATCTGAAGAGACTCCGGGAGGCATTCTAGAGGCCTCTGGCTCGTCCGTTCGCACATGTTTTCCTCCTCCTCCTCCTCTTCCTCCTCCTCCTCCTCCTCTTCCTCATCTTCCTCTCCCTCCTCCTCGATTCCCCTCCTCCTCCTCTTCCCCCCTCTGCTCCTCCTCCTGATCCACTTACGTATCCTCCCCCCCGCCGCCTCCCTCCTCTCGCCCATTTCCTGTTATCCTCCTCCCCCGGTTCCTGCTCCTCCTCCTCCCCGTTATTTTCCACGGTATCCTCTCCAGTCCTCCTCCTCATCCTCGTCCTCCTCCTCCTCCTCCTCCTCCTCCTCCTTCCCTTCCTCCTCCTACTCATCCGGTTCCTCCTATTTAGTCTTCGTCTTGGGGTACGACGGTGTCTCCATCCCCGTGCTTGATCATGGCAACTCGTCTGGGCATCTTCTCTGGATGGGCTGGTGGGGACACGCGAAGTGTCAAGTTGTTCCACGATGGTTCGCCCTGGTGTATAGCAGAACCACAACAAAGCGCGAACCCACAACCAATGTAGCTAGTGCGACGTTTTGCAGACCTCACTGTACGACGCCTGGAGCCTCTTGAAGCCCTCGCGCAATACTTCGGCTGTGGCATCTTCTGCAACCTGTACGCCTGCTGCCCCCAGAGTGTCACGCATGTCTGCCACATTCATACCCACCATGTCGGCATCCTCATCGTTCCTGTAGGTATGTCAGCGACAGCGAGAGTATGAGGCTGAGGCACTGCAGGAGAAGGAGGACTTGGGGCTGGGGCTGTGGAGGCTTCACGCAGAACCTCCGCCGTCGCGCTAAGCCCCCTCGTGAAACCCTCGCACAGCCACAAGCTTGCAGCCACCCAGCCCAACTGCGCCACTGATGCGGCGAAGTCTGACAGGATTTCGCGCAGCGTGGGCAACTTGGACGTTTCTGGCGGGCGCACCTGGGGCATCGCCTTGTGTGTCTCCTCCTCCAGCCTGACCGCTTCGGCCGTTGCCTCAGTAAGGTATGTGCCCGATGTTTTGAGCTGCTCCTGCAGCTCGTTGACCTTGGCACGCTGGGTCCCCACCAGCCTGCGAGGAACTGTCTCATGTGCGCGAGCCCGCTGGTGGCGAGCAGCCAGAGATCACGCCTGATCTCGTTCCAGGATCTCCCTCTGCGGCTTGTGGGAGGCGGCGGGCTCCGCATCGGTGTCCACCGATGACGCCCTCAAGCCGCATGACGCGCCAAACCTCTCCGCCATCTCGCTGTCTGCCGCGAGCACGCTGGCCCAAAGCGGAGGAGGTAAACGGGGGTCGGGAGACTTGTCCGACTTGACATGCTTGATCTGCTCCTCGAGCTCTGCGCAATTCGCCGATGGGCTTTTGTACTGGGAGCCCCTGGAGCTGACGCTGGGGGCCTGGGCTCGCTCGCGCCCTTCGAACACCGCGCTTTTGTGGAACTGGCACTGGCGGCGCTCAGCGTGGCTGCACGGGGCTGCGCAGCCCAGGCGAGTCCGCTCGGCGCGGCGGAGTGGCGCGCGGGAAGGAGCGCAAGGCGGACTGCGCCCCTGACGTTGAAGACTGACCACGGACTAGCGGCATCCGTCTTGCACTCACGGAGAAAAGGAACCCGGGGCCAAATTGGCCGCGCAGGAAGAAGAGGGAGGGAGCGGCAGCAGGGGGCGCCTGGCCCGCGCACTCGAGAATGCGCGGCCCAGCCGGGGAAAAGGGGCAAGGCAAAAAGCAAGCGGGTTGCCGCAGAATTCACACCAAGATGCAGTTCAAAACCTCGCCTCCGACGACGGGGCGCACGGGCCTACGGACGAGCGGTTCCTCCCGCGGGCCACGACGTGGTTCCATCCCTTCTAGGGGAACTCCACGTTCGATCCCGTTTGTGATTGCGCGCTGACTGGCTGCCACGTGGCCAGGGCGCATGGCCAGACCGTCGGGTTGGCCTCCTCCATGCTGAGCGACGCGACCCGGGCGCCCGCGCGCCATGATTCATAAGCGAACAGCGAAGCTCACTTGGAACACGATTACATCGAATGACAATTGGCGCCTGGACAGCGGGCGAGAACTGGCGCTGCATTCAAACCGACGTTCCCACACAGCACATATTGGATATCGTCGCCATTCCACCGAACTTTCTGCGCCAGGGGAAATATTACACCTTCTGCAGCGCAAGCCGTGTCTACCCATCCCACGCTGCTTCGTCTGGCGCCCGCTGTGGACCTCCGAGAGCACGGCGGGCGGCGCCCTCGATCCGCTGGGCCACATCTGCAACGGTTCCCGAGGCACGCTGCTCACATGGGTCCTGGCCAAAAGGTGCTGCCGCAGTTCCAGGTTACCTGCGGCTGGATGTCTTTCGTCGCCTTTGCCACTGCTGCCCCGGCAAGTTCGCCCGCCGCTGAATTTGCGAGTGAAGTTTCTGGGCCCTGGCGTAGGAGGTCCCGTTCATCCAGGTGCAAGTAGCGCCTCTTAAGAGCGGTGCCTTCGCGTTCACCTAGCCGATTGTCAACAGCTTGTTTGCCTGCTATCCATCAACTGAGATTGCTTCCTGCGGCGTCGACGTCTCGACCTGCCTGCCACCCATCGCACGCATTCCGCGCGTCTGCCCATGCAAGAACGCCTGCTTCCGCAGTAGCGACAGCGGAAACCAGCGACGCAATCCCAGAGCAGGGCACCGTCTGCTCGACAGAAATGAATCCATACATTTCAAATCCAGGACCTTCGCATTGTAGATAGCAGCCCCGACTTGCCCTCGCCGCTCTCTCGCCCGTTGAATTAGCAGAGCCAGCTAGAAACGCCACCTTCGCACGAATCATGACTCCTTGCGATTCCGCAAAGGCATGGATGACGGGAGGCGGTCCATTAAGTTGAACATCTGCAGAGCTGAATAATTTGACGCTGTACTCCCGCCGCGAGGTAGGAACAGGCACGTGGCCCGATGTCCCGGGGGCACCCCATCGAAGCCGCACGGGGCGAAGTTCAGCATCGCCCGCCAACGACTGCCGAGCACGGCTGGGGAGGTCCACCGTTGTCTCCAGCATGGGGTACTCGATGCTCCTGCTGCACTCGCCTCGATGGGTGTCAAAGCCCACCTGTGACGAGTGCCTCCATCGCGCCAAGTTCTTTGGCAACAACTTTGTGCGTGGGGGTGATGGAATCTCGCAGTTGAAATGAGTCCCCTCGCGAATTGCCCTGAACGTCCATGCGCGTGGTAGCTTTTCCAGGGGCGCGCGCTGATACTTATATTCGTTGTTCTGGCATCGATCTGCGAGGTCCAATTTTACCCCATCTTGAGATTCCGAGGCGTCGCTCTTGTCGTCGATCCACTGGTCGGATAGAGAAACGCCCCATCCGATCTCTGATGAGCCTGTGAATAGAGCAGCCGGTGGGCCAATGACCGCTCGCCAGTGTGCGCTGGCTTCCTTACCCATGAAGATGCTGCTCATGTGGCCCCAACGTTGCTTGCGCCTGGCGCGTAGAAGTTCCTGCCTGCGCCACAATTTGAAACGCTCCGTAGCCTGCTGACGCAGTGCCTGTCGCGCTGGCTCACGACCGGGAATAGCGCGGCAGCATGGCCGCTGCGTTGCAGTGTCTTCGTCTGGCGAGACCTGCCACGAAAGCGGTCTGACTGCTTGACTGATTCGCGAGGGGAACTGGTAGTCCAAGCGCGGGGGCGTCGTGCGAGGCCTTGGCCCTGACGCTAGATGAGAAGAGGTTGGATGTTATGTTACCATCGCCGTGCTCTTGTGGGGAAAGATTATGGCCCTCGATGCTCTCCTGCTGTCCGCTTTGCGTCGAGCTCTAGCTGCGGCCGCCGCGCGGTGCCGGCCGCGCATGGCATCCAAGCCCGACATCTCTGACGCGCAGCTGCAACTTGATGGAGATGTTGAGTGGCTCGAGCTTCTCCGCCGCCGCGTCGCGCGCAGCTTGTGGAGCCAGGGAGGTCAACTTATCTGATACATGTACACCAGCTTGTAAACAGCCACTTGCACAGGGAAGAGACGCCTCCGAGAGATGACATTTGACGGGCGCCAGAATGCCTTCAAGTCTGAGCACTAGATCGCCCGCGCATTCCCAACCGAAAGCCCCCCCCGTGCTGCTTGCGCGCGGCCCGCAGGACGCGGCGCGGCATTCCCCTGGCAGAGCGACCCGCAGATATCCCACTGCACGGACAGATCGCGCGACCTGCACAAACTCCGCAGGCGCGAAGAACTCTTGGATCCAGTTTGGCGAGGAAAGCTACGCGCAGCTCCATTGGCCGGCAATAGATCCCCCATGCCAAGAAATTCCGCGCGGGCACAAATGCACAATCGCAAGAGCCCCACAGGCCCAAAAACAACTCGGCCACCGCTGCGTCTCGGAAGTGGAACGCTGCCGCGTCCAGCGCAGGAGTCGCCAGCGCCGCCTGTAACAACGGCGATCCTTGAAAAGCATTGCCCCGAAATCCTGCGCGCCGGTCGCCCAATCGGAGAGATCTCACATGCAAGGCTTGCCGCGGATGCGATTTGGCACGGGTCATCCGCGGCTGTCTCGGCCAGCGCGGCAAGCCGCGCGCGCGGCCATTGCGTCGGCCACCACAGGGGCCCAAGCGCAGACGCGCGCAATCTGCTAATTGAGCCCTTCCCGCCGGCGGTATCGCGGCGAAGCGAGCAGGCGCCCGCCGATCTACTCCAAGAACCGCGCCGGGCTCAAGCTGCGTCGCCGCCTTGAGGATCTGCGCGCGCCGGCGCGCAGAAGCTCTGGCAATCTCCATCGCGCGCCCTTCAAGCGTCGCAGCGCACGCGGAAGCTCGTCGTCTCGCGTGCGACGCTGCCATCGCGCGCCGCTGCTCATATCGCCACTACATGCCACGCTGCACATCTCTCGCGGCTTCCACTGGCCCGGGGGAAACACGCGGCATCCGAATAACTTGTTCCACTGTTTCGGGAAGGGGGCCTGCGCGTCTTGACCATCGACCCATTGCGCTTCTGTTGCCCAGAAGCCTCTCCACGAAATTGCCGCCGGAGGGCGTTGACGGAGTCCACCAGCTGCTGGAGCCACACTCGTCGGCGATGCCGGTGAGATCCTGGCAGGTGACTTAGGACTTGTCGTGGGTCATGTAACTGGGCGTGATAAACTCCCGTAAATTTGGGCTCGTGCTCCTTCTCCTCCAGCTCCAAAGAGCGTCGCCTCGGCCGTTGAGGCCCGCCGTCGCCGGCGCTGGCCCAAATCTGGCGCATCTCCACTCATCTGCACGGCGACCGACGTGCGAAATGCTGCAGGTCAAACTCCAGGCGTAGAATTGATTGCCGATGATCACCACTTCGCCCATCCGTCGTCCCTCGCCGCAGCTGCCACTGACTTTGCATTGCTGACATTATGAAGCTCGCTGTGGAGTTGGACTAGCGAATTCGCTTGGCCCAGTTCGTCAATGGAGTCCGGGCCAGTCCTCTGGAGAAACGCTCGACGGTCACGACTAAGCATCTTCGGGCCTTTGGGCGCCGTGATCTTGCCCATCGGGGCCCGAGGCTGTCAGTTAGACCATTGCGGCTCCAGGCCCCGGGTGAAGATGCAACTCCAGCCCAACGTGCCGCCCCCGCGGTGGCCCCGGGATTGGGATGAGCTCGTAGGTAACTCTACGCGCCGCCTGTGCTAATCCGCCGATCCGGCGTGTGAGTTTAAGAAAGCTACAACCTGAGCTTCAGCTCTGCTGGGGGGAGGCCGGGGCGGCTCTGCCGGGGTAGGGGGGGAGGGGGGGGGGGGTCATCGGGCCCGCCCCTTCTCCCCCCCCCCCCCCCTGGAATCCCAAACCGCCCCAAGACGGGCCAAAACGGGCCCAGGAGGCCACCACAACGGTCCAGGACGCGCCCGAAACGGCCCAAGAGCGCTCCTGGACGCCCAAGATGGTCTGAAGACGCCCCAACAGGCCTCCAAGACGCCTCAAGGAGATCCCAAGAGGACCCCCAAGAGGGTGCACTAATAAAGTTGCTAATAGGTGCTGACGCATTTTAACATTATCGCCTTTTTTTTGTTTTTGAACCGCCGAAGACGGTGCAAGAGGCCCCCAATATCGCCCCAACACAGCCCAAGAGGCCCCCAAGAGGAGCCAAGACGGTCCAAGAGGGCCCCAATACATCCCTGGAGGCCCCCCACGACGACCCCGAGAGGCCCCCAAGATGGCCTCAAGAAGGTGAACCCGAACGGACCCTTCTAGTCCTCCGCCCCAAGATGACCCCAAGAGCCCCTAAGATGCCCCCTGAGGCGCCCCCAAGGGGCCCCCATGGGGCCCCCAAGAAGTCCCCAAGAGGTCCCCAAGAGGACCCCGAGAGGCCCCCAAGAGGCCCCAAAGGCCCCCAAGAAACCCCAAGAACCAAGAGGCCCCAAGAGGCGCTCACTCGCGTTCTGCCAGGCACGAGGTGCACGGCCTGACTTGGCATTGCTCGGAAGCGAAACCGATGAACGAAGAACCTTCCACCCGTCGCCGTCGCCAGTCGTCGGTCGTCGGCCGTCGGCAACCGTTCGCCGTCACTCGTCGTCGTCGTCGTCGTCGTCGTCGTCGTCGTCGGTTCGTCGTCATTAGCTCCTTCGTCGGTCGTCGTCGTCATCATCCCGCTCGTCGACCGTTGGTCGTCCGTTGTCGTCGTCATCGTCCATTCCAAACAACAATAGCATCAGGAGCGCCACGGATCGGCGGCACTGGCCGGAGGCCACTACAATAATACCCTATCGATGAAGCCTGCATTGCCAAATCGATGTGGCTCCTTCTTTGACATGCACAAAGCCGTTGACGCTGTCGCATCATGAACCTCTGATGGGGGTTGTGCGATCCAGATACCAACCGCCAGGAACTAGTCAAGGCACTTTCACTGAACGAGCCACAGTCGAGATATCGTAGACATTCCTGACATTTGCTCTTTGCTTCAAGCTAATGCCATGGTCCAGGTAGATGCTGTTGCACGAGGAACATGACCAGCGCCGCGCCCGCGAGAGCGCCACCCACAATACCTTTACCCGAGGTTACTACGCCATGCGCGAAGGTGTTTATGTGCGTGCGCCTACGCCACAGCGCCCAAACGTTTGAGCCTATGCCTGTCGATGTCGTTCAAGTAACCTAAGTAGCCCATCCTTTCGGAAAGCGTTCTCTCGCTCCTATCGATTTGGTATGCACGAGCCTGGTTCCAACAGCTCCAACCAAATCGCGTTGAGACTGGGGGATCCAGCCCCGAACCTGCTTTGAGTACGCAGTGATGATGATGAAATAGCCCTTGAAATCTTTTGGGGGATGGATGCTGGCTGCGAGCGGGAGAGAATACAACGCGTGGTAGACCACTGCTCTTGAACCACGTTTCTCGCCACGATTGCCTTACCAACTCCAAAGCCGGCACGGAATCTGCTTCATACTGGGATGACCGTGGGGGGTTCTAAGCGCATCATACAGTTTCGAGTGGATGCTACGGTGGGCTACATCTGGCCCAGCCTGGCATATTACTAGGTTGCAACCTTACATCTTAGCGGCCTAGTGGCATACTAGTGGCAGGTTAGTGCTCAGGGGGCTTAGATAGCTCCGCACAATGGGCGAGGCCCACATAGCACGGATCGCGAATCCCCTTAAACTACCACTTATAGACTAGGATGGGCCAGATATAACCCACCTTGGCATCCACCTGTACCCCACCTATTCGCCCAGAAACCCAACGGTCATCCCAGTAGTCCGCTTCTCCTTTAAATGAGAGGAAGTGGAAGCCATATTCTGGAGAACGGTGGCCACCAAAAGGTATACGATTGACTGTTACATATGTGTTTGTGCAATTCGCCAATCCCACGCGCCACTGTCCTGCCTCATGCAATATGGAATTCAGGACAACGTCTGTGACCAACCTGTTAATGCAGAGGGCGGGTGTCGTTTTGACATTTGTAGCGTTGCGGCCATCAGGTGCTCGAGTGTGACCATGATCGTCTCGAAGAAAGTGTAGAGTGACAAGAAGTGAGCTTGCCTCACAATGTGCACACTAATCTACCAACTCCATCAGATGCTTGGTCGTCTTCCGGACCTTTTCGTGCAGGTCGGGTGCGACGCATAGTCTGGTGCCAACCGCCCCAAAATGTTCCTGGACATATTGCGCACATCCGACATTGCGTGCCGGCTCCTTTAAAAGATATCCAAACAATCCTGCTGGAAACCTGTCTGGAGCAAATCGACAAATGACTGGCGAGAGTCGGCAGACCGAACACATCCGCTCATGCAAGTCGATGTACAGCTGGCGCTACCCGTTTTCAGGTAAGTTGAGCCAGGTCGTGACGAACGGCGTGCACCATCTTCTAGAATGTCGTTCGATGTTGAACTCGATGCCTCGAAGGTCGCGGATCCACGCTTCTCCCCAGTACCTAGCCGCACGTTGTAGTTCCAGACCTCTTTGACGTCGATCTGGTGGTGGATGTGCTGGAGGTGAGGGAGGCGGTGGTCCCTTGTTCTGCGGTACTTCACTTTTGAAGGGGGCCCTGGGACACACAAATAGATACACACAAATAAGAGGATTCCCCATATTTTCACATATTTTCTGGGTTTTTGTATTTCCCTCCGCTTCCCATATTTTCGCAAATTTTCTGTGGAGTCGACGATTGATTGTGTCTGTATGATTCTTTCCCTCTTGAACTTTCTCCAGCCCAAGACAGAATCTGTGCAACGGCTGCGTCCTTGGACCAGTTCTCCTGCCCAGACATTCGCCGGGGCTCTGGATGCCTTCCTGGGAACAGGAACAGGAGGGAGGGAGGAGAAGGAGGGAGAGGAGAAGGGAGGGACGGAGAAGGAGGGAGGAACGGAGGAGGAAGAGGCGAGGGGGAGGAGCAGGAAGAGGAGGACGAGGAGGGAGGGAAGGAGGAGCAGGAGAACACGAGCATGAGCACCACCATGGGGCGCCAATCCATGACCACTCTCTCGACTGCAGCACTGCTAACGTGCAGACGAAACAGACCATGGCAAGAGGGCCCCGGGGGAGGAGGACGAGGCGAGGCGAGAGGCAGGACGAGGAGACAGGCGAGAGTTCCCCCCCCCCGGGAGGAGGCCGGGGCGGAGGTCGACCGGGCAGCGCCTGCTTTAGAAGAGGAAGAAAACAAAAAGAAACAAACCAAAAACAGCCACTTTTGGCGTTCCGCACGGATTCCTAGGATCCGTGCTGGCCCCCCCCCCCCCCGCGGCGCCTCAAGTGTATGGTTATGGCGGGTTCTCTTCTTCGAAGCGGGGCCCGGGGAGCGCGGCGGCCCCACGGCGGGCGCGCGGGGGGGCCTCCGGACGCCCAGACGCATCGCGCTGGCCTGAGCAGGGGCCGACCGTCCCGGCATTCCTATAGGCCTACCACGAGATGTTCTCAGAACCCCAAAACGTTCCCATAACAGAAACAATATTCTTAGAGCATAAGCCCGATGTGCAAAAAAAAACTCCCGGCCAGAGGTGTTCAAAGAACACGTGCGGACCACATAAGGTTCTAAGTCTTAGAACATGATTTGGTGAGCCAATAAGCAAGCCAAGATGCGTCGCCACAGCTTGAGTGGTGAGACGGTCAGGAACTTCTGCCCAGCGCGTCGCGGTGACGGCCCCGGCGAAACGCCATGCCCTGCGAGCTAATATCGGCTCGTTCCGCTTCGTGAGACGGGAGGCTGGGAGGAGCAGGGGCTGGAGCAGGGACATGTTCTCAGAACCGCAAAATGTTCTAAGATGACAAATAGTGTTCTTCTACCACAAGCCCGAGGTGCTTACACAAAACGGCCTCAGCCAGAAATGTTCGGAGAACACCCCGCGTAGACCGCAACCGCAACAGGTTCTGAGAACAGTCTTTGTCTAGGCCTCCAAGATGGGGTCGGAGCAGATGGGGTCGGAGGATCGCGCCGCATCGCCGATGCGTCGCCGGTGCATCGCCGATACATCGCCGATGCATCGACGATGTATCGCCGATGTATCGGCGATGCGGCACGATCCTCCGACCCCATCTGCTCCGACCACATCTAGGAGGCCTCTGCTTTGGTGGGCCTGCAGGCAGGCGAGGCTGCTTCGCCACTGCTTGACTGGCGCCCTCACGAGAACGGCGACTCCTGGCGATCGTGCGCGAGCGCCGCGGGCTGCGCGCCGCCCGGCGGGGCCGACGCCGGGCCCGCCGGGCCCGGCCGCGGCCCCGGGCCCTGCATCTCACGTCCTCGGGACGGGGGGGGGGAGGGGAGGGCTCGCCGCTCTCGCTGCCTCGCACTGCCTCGCGCCCGCTGCTCCTCCACTCCTCCCTCCCTGCCTCCCAGCCTCTTCCTCCGCCGGCTCCGGCTCCGCCGCCTCCTCCTCCTCTTCCTCCTCCCTCGCTCTTCTTCCCCTAGCCCTCCTCCTCCTCCTCCTCCTCCTCCTCCCTCGCTCTTCTTCCCCTAGCCCTTCCTCCTCGTCCTCCTCGAGGGGAGCGTGGTCGCTCTCCGCATCCTCCCGTCCTCTGCATCTCGCGTCCTCTGCCCCTGAGGGACAGTGCAGATAGCACAGGCCGTGGGCCTGCGAGCATAGGGCCCTGAGGAAGACGAGTCCCTAAACATGCTCGCGCCAAGAAACAAATAGTGAGCGTTTTTTTTTACTCGGCGTCTCGACATCGGGCGAAAGGGGGGGGGGGGAAGGGGAGGGGAGCTGGCTCTGGATCTCTGCCTAGTGCGACTGTCTGGAACCGTGCGCCCTTCGAGGGGAGACTGCACCCGCTCGACACAGGCGCCAAACAGAGCCAAGATCCACTCCAGGGGGGGTGTTTGAGGGCCCGCGCCGATCGGCAAAACAATGAATACAGTCGGGCCCTGAAGAAGGAACCCTTTTGGTTGGGGAGGGGCTCCGCGTTCCTTAAGTGTTTCACAGCTTGCCTCAGGTTTTCCTTATGTTTTCGATAGGAAATCGAAGTTTAACATATGGAAAAAAAGGGGCCTTGTTCCTTATTTAGGGTTCCTTAGGTCAACGCCCCGACTGTAAAAAGACGATCACCATGGAACAAATAACGACGTTTTTTCTACCCGTCCCGGCCTCGGGGGGCCCTCCCCGGGCCCCGCGACCGTCAAAAACAAACGACTCGGGGGCAACGTGCGGAGAAGAATAGGGCATCGCATGTCTGGGCCTGGGCATTGCCGAATCGACTCCCATCCCTTCCGTCAGGTCTGGCCTGTCCTCCTTCCGGCGGATTTTGGACGAATCATGAAAGGTAGTCAAAACCATATGCAAAACTAGCCAAACGTAGTCGAGACAATTCTGGCATGTCTTCCTACTTTCGAATATTCCCCCTGCAGAGGGACATGCCCGACTTAACCCTACTGGCATAGTCTTGGCCCCGCTGGCCGGCGCAACCCCCCAAACTGTGGTGGCCTGTGCGGTTCCCTCTGGGCTTCCCGCGGGGACCCCATCCCCGCCGCGGGAGGGTGGGCTGAGGTTGAGCCGAGCTGCCCTGGCCGAGTGTAGAGGCCTCCTGGATGGGGTCCGAGCAAATGGGGTCGAAAAATCGCTCATCGCCGACGCATCGGCGACGCACTGGCGACGTCGGCAATGCACCGGCGACGCCAGCGCGGAGAAAATCGGGCTCCGCGTCAAGCCGCGCCGCCGATGCATCGATGCGGCACGATCCTGCGACCACATCTACTCCGACCCCATCCAGGAGGCCTGGAGAGTGAGGCTGGGGATCGGCTCGACGATGCTGAGTGCCCTCTGGGTCCCAGTGCTCTCTCTCTGTCTCTGTCTCTGTCTCTGTCTCTGTCTCTCTCTCTCTCTATCTTTACCAGCCTGGAACATATCCCTATCCCTAAGCTGGGCATCGCCTCAACACAATGCCAATCTTAGGGATTCCCTTGGTTTTTCAGGGCGCATCCCTAAGATTGTCATCGCCTTTTGGCGTGTCAATCTTAGGGATAGGGTTAAGTTCGAGGCTGGTGATCTCTCTCGCTCTCTCTCTCCAGGACAGGACCCCGCAGCCCAAGACGGCTCGTGGACGGGCCCCCGTGGCCCCGAGGGCCTGGGAGCCCGGGGGCGGTGCAGGGCCGCAGGACTCGAGCAGGGACCGACCGCCCGGGCATCCCTATAGGCCTACCACGACATGTTCTCAGAACCGCAAAACGTTCTAAGAACCCGAAAACGTTCTAAGAACCCGAAAAGAGCCCGAAGACGTTCTAGTTATCCCGGCAAAGCAACCTAACAGCGATGTGTAGAAGCATATATGGAAGCATTCCCCTTAAGATTCAGATGAGAATCCAGTTGTAGAGTTCTGCTGTTCTCGCAGCCTGCCTCAGCCTCAGCCTCAGCCTGCCTCAGCATCAGCCTCAGCCTGCTTCAGCCTCAGCCTCAGTCTGCCTTCAGCCTCAGCCTCTGTGCCTCAGCCTGCCTCAGCCTCAGCCTGCCAGCCTCAGCCTCAGCCTGCTTCAGCCTCAGCCTCAGCCTCAGCCTCAGCCTCAGCCTGCCTCAGCCTCAGCCTCAGCCTGCCTCAGCCTGCCCTCACCCTCAGCCTCAGCCTCAGCCTCAGCCTCAGCCTCAGCCTGCCTCAGCCTCAGCCTCAGCCTGCCTCAGCATCAGCCTGCCTCAGCAGCCTCAGCCTGCCTCAGCCTCAGCCTGCTTCAGCCTCAGCCTCAGTCTGCCTTCAGCCTCAGCCTCTGTGCCTCAGCCTGCCTCAGCATCAGCCTGCATCCGCCTCAGCCTCAGCCTCAGCCTCAGCCTGCCTCAGCATCAGCCTGCCTCAGCGTCTGCCTCAGCCTGCCTCAGCCTCAGTCTGCCTTCAGCCTCAGCCTCAGCCTCAGCCTCAGCATCAGCCTGCCTCAGCCTCAGCCTCAGCCTGCCTCAGCGCCTCTCAGCCTCAGCCTGCCTTCAGCCTCGGCCTCAGCCTCAGCCTGCCTCAGCCTCATCAGCCTCAGCCTGCCTGCCTCAGCCTCAGCCTCAACAGCACCCATTCTCAGCCTCTGCATCAGCATCAAAATGTGGCCCGGGAATGGAGTTCTGGGAACTCGAAGAGCACGAAGTGGCCTACAGTTGGCTCCGGGCATTCAAAATGTGGCCCGGGAATGGAGTTCTGGGCACTCGAAGAGCACGAAGTGGCCTACAGTTGGCTCCGGGCATTCAAAATGTGGCCCGGGAATGGAGTTCTGGGAACTCGAAGAGCACGAAGTGGCCTACAGTTGGCTCCGGGCATTCAAAATGTAGCCCGGGAATGGAGTTCTGGGAACTCGAAGAGCACGAAGTGGCCTACAGTTGGCTCCGGGCATTCAAAATGTGGCCCGGGAATGGAGTTCTGGGAACTCGAAGAGCACGAAGTGGCCTACAGTTGGCTCCGGGCATTCAAAATGTGGACCGGGAATGGAGTTCTGGGAAGTCGAAGAGCACGAAGTGGCCTACAGTTGGCTCCGGGCATTCAGAATGTGGCCCGGGAATGGAGTTCTGGGAGGTCGCAAAGAGCACGAAGTGTGTGACTGTTTGCGAAAAACAAGTTCGGACACGAGTTCGGACACAGCTCCCAGGATGCTGCCCAGACCCCCCTGTGGAGTCATCTGCTGCTCTCTTTTGAGACCACTAGAAACCTATCAGTCTTCGCTGTTAGGTAAAAACCCGAAGCCTTGTGCGTGCGTTCCCCGAAGCAAGAGGGACCCGGGGGAGGAGGACGAGGCGAGGCGACAGGAAGGACAAAGAGACAGGCGAGAGTTCCCCCCCCCCCCCAGGGAGGAGGCCGGGGCGGAGGTCGACCGGGCAGCGCCTGCTTTAGACGAGGAAGAACAAGCAGAACAAAAACAATAAACATCAACTTTTGGTGCTCCGCGCAGATTTCTGAAACCCGTGCTGGGCCCCCCCCCCCCGGCGGCGCCTCAAAGTGTATGTTTATGGCGCCTCAAGCGTACGTGACGAAGCAAAAGCATAACAAAAACAATAAACATCAACTTTTGGTGCTCCGCGCAGATTTCTAGGACCCGTGCTGCCCCCCCCCCGGCGGCGCCTCAAAGTGCATGTTTGTGGCGCCTCAAGCGTACGTGACGAAGCAAAAGCATAACACAAATTATCCCGGCAAAGCAACCTAACAGCGATGTGTAGGAGCATATCTGGAAGCATTCCCCTTAAGATTCAGATGATAATCCAGTTGTAGAATTCTGCTGTTCTCGCAGTCGTAGTCGCATTCGCGATGACAGTCGCAGTGGCCTGCATCACAGCCTCAGCCTCAGCCTCAGCCTGCCTCAGCCTCAGCCTCAGCCTGCTTCAGCCTCAGCCTCAGTCTGCCTTCAGCCTCGGCCTCAGCCTCAGCCTGCCTCAGCCTCAGCCTGCCTCAGCCTCAGCCTCAGCCTCAGCCTGCCTCAGCATCAGCCTCAGCCTCAGCCTCAGCCTCAGCCTGCCTCAGCCTCAGCCTCAGCCTTCAGCCTCAGCCTCAGTCTGCCTTCAGCCTCGGCCTCAGCCTCAGCCTGCCTCAGCCTCAGCCTGCATCAGCCTCAGCCTCAGCCTCAGCCTGCCTCAGCATCAGCCTGCCTCAGCCTCAGCCTCAGCCTGCCTCAGCCTCAGCCTCAGCCTGCTTCAGCCTCAGCCTCAGTCTGCCTTCAGCCTCGGCCTCAGCCTCAGCCTGCCTCAGCCTCAGCCTGCATGAGCCTCAGCCTCAGCCTCAGCCTGCCTCAGCATCAGCCTGCCTCAGCCTCAGCCTGCCTCAGCCTCAGCCTCAGCCTGCCTCAGCCTCAGCCTCAGTCTGCCTTCAGCCTCGGCCTCAGCCTCAGCCTGCCTCAGCCTCAGCCTGCATCAGCCTCAGCCTCAGCCTCAGCCTGCCTCAGCATCAGCCTGCCTCAGCCTCAGCCTCAGCCTCAGCCTGCCTCAGCCTCAGCCTGCCTTCAGCCTCAGCCTGCAGTCTGCCTTCAGCCTCGGCCTCAGCCTCAGCCTGCCTCAGCCTCAGCCTGCATCAGCCTCAGCCTCAGCCTCAGCCTGCCTCAGCATCAGCCTGCCAGCCTCAGCCTCAGCCTCAGCCTCAGCCTCCCTCAGCCTCAGTCTGCTTCAGCCTCAGCCTCAGTGCCTGCCTCAGCCTCAGCCTCAGCCTGCCTCAGCCTCAGCCTCAGAAGCCTGCCTCAAGCCTCAGCCTGCATCAGCCTCAGCCTCAGCCTGCCTTCAGAATGCTCTGCATCAGCCTCAGCATCAGCCTGCCTCAGCATTCACTTCGGGAACTCGAAGAACACGAAGTGGCCTACA